ACGCGTTTCGTGCCCGAGCACGTTATCAAAGGGGCAGTGCTGACTGGCAGCACTAACGGCATTGCTGGCTGCAATTGCTGGGCAACATTGACGGGGGGCACTGCTGGGCGGCACAAATGGGCGCAACTTCTGGACACTGATTATCAGTGCCTTGATGATCAGTGCCGATCTGTTCTGACAATTGCCAGTTATCGGCAGTAATTTATTCACGCTGTCACAGTGTAAGGAAAGTATTGCCGATAACTGGCAACTGTATTTACTCGATGATCTACTGTGTCATTGGATATAGCTGATCACGTGGTAAAAGGCCGCTGTCACAAGTTAGCCTGCAGTTTCTTGTTTGTGTTCTTACCTCCTTACTGCAGTCCTGTTCCTGATCCCTGTACATGTGTGTTTGTCTGTGCTCACCTATGGGCGTCGTCTGCTGTTCTCTGGGTTTTATTTCCTTCTCTTCCATCACTTCCTAGCCCGCCTCCTTGTTTGCCTTCCTATATAATACATGCTCAGACTAGGACACTTTGCCTAAGCAACTTCCTAGTTCTCTGAGCTCCTGTGTGTTGCTATTGCCTGTATCCTGCATTGAGACTACTTGTGTACCGACCCCGGCTTCGTTCTCTGACTGTGCTTCTTTTTTGCCTGTCCTGACCTCGGCTAGTCTATCGGATTTACGTTTGTCTCCTCCCATTGTTATCTGCTCCCGCGAGCGGTTTCTTCATCCTCAGCTGGGCATAGCTGGGGGCCGCAACCTCGTCCCAGCTTGCTGCAAGTCCATCCCCACCATCCTGGGGTTCTGGTGAAGAAGCAGGCTGGGGCTTAGACTCTGCGCCCTGGGGAACCCCAAGTTGAGTATATATACAAGGGCTCACTACCACAGGTGCTTACAGTTTGCTCAGGCCATGAGCTCCTGGAGACACCGCAGCCTCTCCTGGAACTTCAGTGTTTGGCGCAGAGAGTAGATGTCCATCAGGCCTATCAAAAACAAATTATGCACTGTCTGCAGGAACTCGCCTCCCAGTTGGATCAGCTGCAGGTTGTGTCCACTTCCTCACCCTGTTTCGGCTCCTGTCCCGTCCCTGCTGCTCAAACTACCACTGTTCTCCTAGTAGAACACAGTCCTTCAAAACTTCAGCTGCCTCCACCGTCTCACTTCTCTGGTGATCCCAAAGCTTGTCAGGGCTTCATCAGTGTTCTATTCATTTTGAACTAGCAGCCGATCATTTTACTACTGATTGTTCCAAGGTGGCATACATGATTTCCCTCCTTTCAGCTGAAGCACTGGCTTGGGCCTCGCCAGTGTGGGAGCGTCAAGATCCCACTATTTCCAGTCTCCCAGCAAGCTTTCAGAAAAACCTTTGATGTGTCTGACAGGACTTCACCTGCTGCGGGAGCACTTCTTCGGCTTCGTCAAGGTAGCATGACGGTTGGTCAGTATGCAGTTCAGATTCGCACCTTAGCATCGGAACTTGCATGGAATAATGAGGCCCTTTATGCAACCGTTTGGCAGGGTCTAGCGGACCATATTAAAGACAAACTAACTGGAAGAACCATACCCACCACATCCAAATTGATGTTCGCTTCCAGGAGCGAGATCTGGAAAGGGCTGGTCCATGTCACCTCCAAGTGGGTTTGTTAGCTCCTGTTTTACAAAAATCCCCTGAATGATCAACCTTTGCAACTGTACCGACATCCGAGGAACCTATGCTGTTAGGCCGAACACGCCGCACTCCACAAGAACGATCGCGTCGCCTAAGACTTGGTCTATGCCTTTACTGTGGGGCTGAGGGTTATGTAATTAAGTCTTGTTCAGTCCGTCCAGGAAACTCTCGAGTCTAGGTCACTCTGAGGGAGGTGATCTAGACCAGAACCTGAACTCTGCCACCTTCCCTTGAGTTGTTATACCTTTGGGCTCTAAACTCATATCAGGTTTTGGCTCATGTGGACTCTGGGGAAGCCGGAAATTTCTTTGAACAATCATTGGCCTCTAAATTGGGTATTCCTCTTGTCCCCTTGATGACACCCGTCACTATCTACAGTTGATGGATCTACCATGGCCTTAGTACCTCTACACTTTGAACTAACACCATAACTATGCATGCAGGCGTTCTTCATCGTGAGGAAATCTCCTTCCTAAGTCATCAAGTCCCATCATTCTTGGACTTCCATGGTTGCAGAAACATTTACCCTATCTTGACTAGAATTCTGGCCAAGTATTGTCATGGGGGTCACAATGCAATTGGACTTATCTCCCTAAAGTGCTTCCACCTCTGTGTGTAGGCTGAGGTCACCACCTCTCCGATACTCCCTCCGCATCATCAGGCCTTCCATGAACGTCATTTGTAAGAAAGATGCTGTTTGCCTCCTCACCGTCCCTATGATTGTGCTATTGACCTCCAACCTGGGACTTCTCCAGCTCGAGGTAAACTTCACCCTCTCTCCATTCCTGAGACTCAAGCATGTCTGAGTATGTCCAGGAGAATCTGTAGAAAGGATTTATCCGTAAATCCAATTCTCCTGCTGGGGCTGGCTTCTTCATTGTGGAGAAAAAAGATGGTACGCTCCGGCCCGGCATTGATTATAGAGGTCTCAATGCTATCACAGTTAAGAATCGGTACCCTTTACCTCTGGTTTCCAAAATGTTTGACAGACTCCGGGATGCTCAAATTTTCACTAAGCTTGACCTCCATGGAGCATATAATCTGGTTACGATCAGTGAGGAGGGTGATGAGTGGAAAACAGCTTTTAATACCAGAGACGGCCATTATGAATATCTTGTAATGCCCTTCGGCTTGTGCAATGCCCCAGTCGTCTTTCAGAACTTTGTTACTGACATTTTTCCTGATCTCCTGTATGTTTGTGTCCTTGTCTATCTGGATGACATATGCATTTTTTCTCCAGATTTAAAAACTCATCGTCAGTACGTATTTACTGTTCTCCTACGTCTTCGGGACCACCGCCTGTATGCAAAATTGGAGAAGTGCCACTTCGAACAAACTCAGGTTCCTATTCTAGGCTACATATTTATGGATAAAGTGCTGCTTATGGATCCTGCCAAACTCCAAACCATCTCCAACTGGCCTCAGCCCTCTGGGTTGAAAGCCACACAACGCTTCTTGGGATTAACCAACATCTATTACCAGTTCATTCCTGACTATTCTTCGCTGGTGGCCCCAATCACTTCTTTGACCCAGAAGGGTTCCAAGGCCAGAACCTTGCCTCGAGGCAGTCAGTGCATTCCACAAACTAAAATCCACCTTCCTCTCTGCACCTATTCTCATACGTCCGGACATTTTCCAGCCTTTTTTCTTGGAGGTAGATGCTTCATGTGGGGGCCGTCCTCCAAATGCATGATGGTAAGCTCCGTCCGTGTACCTTCTTCTCTAAAAAGTTTTTGGATGCCGAAAAGAATTACACCATCGATGATGAGGAACTGCTAGCGATGAAGCTGGCAATGAAAGAATGGCGACATCTGCCGGAGGGATCTCCACATTGCATTCTGATTTATACTGATCATAAGAACCTCCAGTATCTCCTGTCCACATGGCGTTTGAACCCCAGACAAGCACGATGGGCCCTCTTCTTTGCAAGACTTAACTTCGACGTTACCTTCAGGCCCAGTTCCAAAAATGCCAGTGCAGATGACTTGTCCAGATCATTTGACATTGCTGACTCTGAGATCCTGATTTACTAATGTGCCTAGACACATTTCCGTAGGATAAAGTTTACTTTTCAATAGAGTCCGTCTACTTTTAGACGTCAAAGACATTTACTAAAGAAAAGAGTCTAACAAGTAGACTTGAAAGCGAATTTACTAACTAGGCACAATCCAGGAATCAGTCTAAGAAAGCAGTTGTGCTAAGAAGCACGTCTAACACAATGAAAAATCACTGCACAGAAACACGTTCACATTGAAATTTGCTTTCCCAAATATCTGTACTTCACTTAAAACAATATCTTACATTTCAAAAAAAATTTTCAGTAAGTTTTTTAAGGGAATTCATGACAGTCAAGAACTAGACGCTTTTCCAACGTCTAAGCAGGGATAGAAATGAGCATGTGCAGGACACAATTTAGCCGTCTGCTGTGGGCGCTTTCTATTTAGACGCTGATTAATAGTAAATCTCTGTGTCTACTGTGTTTAACAAACAGCACTATTTGTAGCTAGGCATATCTTTATGTATTCTAATTTGATTTCCTTAGTTCAATTGATTCTGTTTTTGTTTCTTATCCTTTAAAATTACTTCTGTAATGATTTTATATATTTTGAAGGTCTAAATATATATTTTGACAGCTGAATCTAAAAATAAAGGTTGGCAATTAAAATAAAACGGCGTGGGGTCCACCATACCATGTCCTTCGGGTCTGGTATGGATTTTAAGGGGTAACCTCACACCGAAATGTAAAAAAAAAATGGCGTGGGGTCCCCACCAAATCCATACCAAACCCTTATCCAAGCATGCAGCCTGGCAGGTCAGAAAAGGGGGGGGGGGGGCAAGAGAGCGCCCCCCACCCTCCTGAACCATACCAGGCCACATGCCCTCAACAAAGGGGGGTTCTTTGGGGTAGGGGGGCTCTCCCACCCAAAGCACCTTGTCCCCATGTTGATGGGCCTCTTCTCCACAACCCTGGCCGGTGGTTGTGGGGGTCTGTGGGAGGGGGGCTTATCAGAATCTGGAAGCCTCCTTTAACAAGGGGGCCCTAAGATCCCGCCCACCCCCACCCTACCTGAATGAGAATGGGGTACATGGCACTGCTGCTCATTCACAAAATTAAAAAAGTGTAGTGTAAAAAAAAAGACAGGACGTGGTCTTTGACAAGTCCTTTAACTAGTTGCCGACCGCAGATAGCCGAATGACGGCTTCACTGTGGCCGGCCAGTTCTGGGTGGACGTCATGACGTCCCCCCAGAACGCGCTCTCCTGCGCGCCCCAGGGGGCGCACACCCGGCGATCTCCGTGATCGCTGTGTCCTACGGACACAGCTGATCACGTGATGTGGTAAAAGGCCGATCCCAGCGACCTTTTACCACGTGATCAGCGGTGTCCAATGACACGCTGACCACAGGGAAATGCAAGTGCCGGTTCTCGGCTGCACTTTCCTCACGCTGTCAGATCATGAGGAAAGTACTGCCGAGAACCGACAGTTGTCACAGCGGGGATCGGCACCGATCATCAGGACACTGATGATCAGTGCCCTGATGATCGGTGCCCAGCAGTGCCACCCCGCAAGTTCTGCCCACCTGTGCCCAGCAGTGCGCCCACTAGCTCCGCCCACCTGTGCCCAGCAGATCACCCACCTGTGCCCAGCAGTGCACCCACCTGTGCCCCCCACCTGTGCCACTCTGCAGTGTCACACACCTGTGCCCAGAAGTGCCACCTACCTGTGCCCAGAAGTGCCACCCACCTGTGCCCACCAGTGCCACCCACCTGTGCTGCCCACCAGTGCCACCCAGCAGTGCTGCCAGTCAGTGCCACCACAGTCAGTGCCCAGGGGTTGTGCCAGTCAGTGCCCAGCAGTGATGCCAGTCAGTGCCGTCTATCAGTACCCATCATCAGTGTCACCTATCAGTGCCACCTATCAGTGCTGCATATTAGTGCCGCCTATCCGTGACACCTCATTAGTGCTGTCTATCAGTGCCGCCTATCCGTGCCACCTCATTAGTACTGCCTATCAGTGCCCTTTAGTGCTGCCTATCAGTGCCCATCAGTGCCGCCTATCAGTGCCCATCAGTGCTGCCTCATCAACGCACATCAGTGAAGGAGAAAAAATACCTGTTTGAAAAATTTTATAATAGAAACAAAAAGAAAAAAAAATTTTTTTCAAATTTTTTGCACTTTTTTTATTTATAGCGCAAAAAGTAAAGTGCCCAGTGGCAATTAAATGCCACCAAAAGAAAGCTCTATTTGTGAGAAAAAAATGATCAAAATTTCATATGGGTACAATGTTGCATGACCGCGCAATTGTCAAAGTGCGGCAGCGCTGCAAGCTGAAAATTGGCCTGGTAAGGAAGGGGGTATAAGTGCCTGGTAGGCAAGTGGTTAATAAAAGAAAAATCTAAAAGAACGTCTCCCGAAGTAGATCCAACATCAATCACGATGTAAGCCGCCGTTTCCGTTCCTGACGATGGCATGCGGCCTTCTGCTGTGAGCTAGGTTGACAGCTCTTAAATATGTAAGGGGCGGGGCCACTTGGGGACATCATTGATGTCACATGGGGTAGGGTTACATGTGTGATGTCCTTGGTGGCCCCGCCCCTTACATATTTAAGAACTGTCAAAACCACAGGAGCTGTCACACCGCAGGAGCCAGCTACGGGACCTTATTTTTTTTATTTCAGTTCGCTGGCGGCTTCCATCGTGATTGACGTTGGATCTACTTTGGGGACATTCTTTTAAATTTTTCTTTTAATAAAGGAGTTGACAAAGACCATATCCTGCCTTTTTTACACTACACTTTTTGTTTTTTGTGAATGAGTAGCGGTACCATGCACCCCATACTCATTCAAATGGGGGGGGGGGCCGGATCTGGGGGCCCCCTTGTTAAAGGGGGCTTCAAGATTCCGATAAGCCCCCTGCCCGCAGACCTCCACAACCACTGGCCAGGGTTGTGGGGAAAAGGCCCCAAATTCATAACAGACCCTTATCCAAGCATGCAGATACCGCATGCCTTCAAAGATTTATTTCCTTTGTGGAATTGCCTGCTTGGTTCACACTAGATGTGATTTAAAATTACGCTTTTTGTTGGCAATTTCACTGTGTTTTCTGTAGATTTACCAACAAGTTATTGCATTTTCAATTGTGTTTTGGATTGCGATTTCTAATGTAGTCTATATGTGAAATCGCTACAAAATGCAGAAAAGGTTAGACATGAACTACTTTTGAAATTGTGCTGCAGCAAATTGCATATGTTCAGACATTCACATTCATTATATCCGATATCAGGTACGATTTCAATTCCCAAATCGCACCTGAAATCGCGCACCCTGGATGCGACTTGGCATGCGATTTGCATGCCCTGCGACTTGCAAATCACATGCCAAATTGCACCCGATGTGACCGGGTGCTAACACCACAGTCACATCTAATCCGATTTGGAAATCGGTCAACTTACAGTGAAGTCGCACGATTTCAAAATAAGATTGGATGTGAATGGAACCTATAGTGGACAATAGGGTGCGACTTGGCCTACACTTTGCAAGTCGCCTGTCATGCAAAATCGCACCCGATGTGACTGGGGGCCACCCCGGTCACATCAAAGCGGATTTTGAAGTGGTGCGACTTACAATACGGTCACATCATGTGACTTACAGTGAAGTCGTATGATTTCAAAGTCGTGGGACATGCTGATTTAAAGTGCGATTTGCAAGACATCTGACACAGATCTCTCTGCAAATCGCATAAAAAGTAGTGTATTCATTACTTTATAAATCGTTGCGGCTCCGACCAAGTTTCAACCACACCAATATGAACGCTCTAATAGCGGTCGCATTGAGTGCGACTTGGCATGTGATTTGCATGACATGCAACTTGCAAATCATATACCAAGTCGCACCCTATTGTCCGTTATTAGAGCGGTCATATGGGTGCGTTTCCGACACTGATTTCTAAAGTAGTACATATACTACTTTTGTGGCGCTTTGCATAGATATCTGTGTCAGATGTCTTGCAAATCGCAAGGACAATGGCAACTTCACTGTAAGTCACACAATTTCTAAATCGGCTTTGATGTGACTGGGGTGTAAAATCTTTTTATGTTTGATTTCCGGAGTGTTGGATCAGTATGAAGTCAAGCAAATCTTGGATTCTAAATTCATCAGAGGGAAGCTCTTGTATCTAATTGACTGGAAGGGATATAGTCCCGAGGAGAGGTGTTGAATTCCTTCTACTAATGTTTCTGCACCCCGTCTGGTGGAATTTTTTTATCAGAAGTTTCCCCTTAACCTCCCTAGCGGTATGCTTATGTCCATATTTCTGTGCTCAAAACATGGAAATATGTAGTTTTTTTATTGTAGGCCTGAAATTTTTAAGAATAACTCACTGAAATCTGTCTGAACAAGAGTCTAGTAAACATCCTGGGTAGGATAAAACTTGAAACACGAAATAATTTAATAAATAATCATAAAAAATAATATTAAATTTAATTAAATAATATAATAAAACCAAAAACACTGAAATTTGATATATAGCGCCAAGTTCGCGTATCACTGAGCAAAGTCGCAAAATCGTTTTCAGCGTCTGATGACGAATTTCCCCACGAATCATTATCACTCAATTCTGCAAGTGGTTCTGATTTACTATCGCTGTTCTCTAGCTGGTCTAAAAATCGCTTTTGACCTAAAGGGACGCTTTTTGGACACCATGAACTTTTCTCAGTTTCCAGGCAGAAAGAACAGTAAAAAGGCAGGCAGGGCACAGGACAAAGCACTAGGGACAAAATGTATGTGAAATGGTTTGATACAGTAATGTTTTACTATGTGATTTTAGTGAATGTCACTTTTTGTCATTTTCAAATTTCCCGCCGTTCCGTCCCCCATACGTCCCGACGCTCGCAGGGGACGGAACCCAGATGACAGATGCCGGCATCCGCCGGATTACATTGCCGGGGACACTGCAGGAGGGACATCGCGGGAGCGCAGGACAAGGTAAGTGATCAAGGGATCCCGGAGCAGCGCCGCATGGTAAGCCCGAGTGTAGCTCGGGGTTACCGCTTGTGGTACTGAAACTTTACCCCGAGCTATACTCGGAAATACCGCCAGGGAGGTTAAAAATTAGGGAGACCTCATAAGAGGGGGGGTACGGTCACAAGTTAGCCTGCAGTTTGTTTGTGTTTTTACCTCCTTGCTGCAGTCCAGTTCCTGATCCCTTCACATGTGTGTTTGTCTGTGCTCATCTATGGGCGTCGTCTGCTGTTCTCTGGGTTTTATTTCCTTCTCTTCCATCACTTCCTGGCCCGCCTCATTTGCCTGCCTGCCTATATAAGACATGCTCAGACTAGGACACTTTGCCTGAGCAGCTTCCTAGTTGTCGGAGCTTCTGTGTGTTGCTATTGTCTGTATCCTGCATTGACTTGTGTACCGACCCCGGCTTTGTTCTCTGACTGTGCTTCTTTTCCGCCTGTCCTGACCTCAGCTAGTCTATCAGATTTCCGTTTGTCTCCTCCCATTGTACTCTGCTCATGCAAGCAGTCTCCTCGTCCTCAGCTGGGTGTACCTGGGGGCCCCAACTTGATCCCAGCTTGCTGCAAGTCCATCCCCACCATCAGGGGCTCTGGTAAAGAAGCAAGCTGGGGCTTAGACTCCGCACCCTGGGAAACCCCAAGTTGAGTATCTGCAAGGGCTCACTACCACAGGTGCTGACAGCGGCTGTGAATGGCCTTTTAGCTCATTACGTAATCAGATGGGACCGTAGGACACGGTGATCATGGAGATTGCCAGGTGTGCGCGGGAGGGCGCATTATGGGAGGACATCATTTGACGCCCTCTCCGAACTGGACAACCGCGTTTTAGCCGTTATTCAGCTAAAGCGCATTTGGCAATAAGTTAAGTTCCATGCCATTGATAAAGTAGGGGAACATTGGAGGGGGAATAATCGTACCACGGAGGTTTAATTAAAAAAAAAAAAAAAAAACCTTCTGTATTTATGAGCTGGATAGTATGTACCCTAAGGGGTTAAACATAGAATTAGATCTTAACTGCTTTATTTCCAACTCTTAGTAACGTAAATTTTAAGCTGTAGTTGGGATATTACATTTAGTCTGTATATGGAATGCATTTGTATGATTTTATTTTCATTTTCTTCAGCAAACTAATATTTTAATATACATGTGAGGTGTTGCATAAAATTAGGTATTATGTAATCCATGTATTCTTTTGTGTATAATTTTATATAGAGTGCATTTAGAAGATATTTCATGCGTATATGGAGGATGTAGTAGAAGTACATGAGGTTTACTATGGAGCCTATTTGCAAACTTGTTTATTGGGCTTTTTGTCTATGGACTATAGGGGGATCGTGATTATACGAAAATCGTAAATATCCACCTCATATATAGTTGTATTATAAACCTCTAGACGGGTGTGTGCTAATTCCTTCGTATTAGATCTATTTATGTCCATATATTAAAAGACACTGAGTATTGATTTATGAAGTATATTCCATTATTACAATACTAAGTCGATGTTCTGTAAGATGAGTGGTTGAATATTACTCATGTGGACATCAGCACTTAAAGTTCTAATAGTACAAGGGGCCCAGTTAACAGGATGGTGAACTGGGCTTCCAAAACACTCTTTACAAGTATGTGTTGGAGACATCCAACATCTACTGCCTACTGCCGTCAGTTTAATGACAA